CAGACATATTTTCTTTGGCGAGCACTTGACAAGATGGCGAGCCCTCAGACCACGGCCTGCGTCCCCCAGTCGCTTAACCTCTTCGGGGGGTCTTTAACCCAAGACGCCATCAAGGGTAAAATTGTCTCCGGACTTCAACCCCTAAACGCCATTTGTCAACCGTATAGTTATATAGAATTTGTGAGCAGCGGGGCTAATGAGCTATATCGCTCCACCGCCATGCACCTGCACCTAAAAGTTTGTCTGCGGGACAGGGATGGGGGTTTGGAGACCGCCGCGGACACGGGCGTCGTTAATAACTTGTTACACTCTTTGTTTCAATGTGTAGAAATTTTTCTTAATGACAAACTAGTTGTGCGAATCGACCACTATGGTTATTATGCCCTTTTGCACACTTTACTGAACAATACTGCTGAGGCGGCTAAAACTCACCTCACCAGTCAATTTTTTTATGCGGACACACCGGCCCACCACAGCAGTATGACGGCCGACAATGTGGGCTATACCAAGCGAGCCCAATTACTCGCCGGTGGCAAAGAGATTGAACTGTATGGCCCCCTTCTTTTGGGGGGATTTTCTAACCTCGATCAGTTGCTGCCAAATGGGCTGGACCTTAGAGTGCGCCTCACTTTTGCTTCCCCTAGTTTCTACATGTGGTCTGGTGAAGGGAATACCGACCAATTACTTGTTAAACAAGCCACCCTTTTCATCCGACAAGTCCAACTTAATCCGGGTGTCTTATTGGCCCACGCCAAAATTTTGGCTCAGACCAATGCCGTCTATCCCGTTAAGCAGGTTGAGATGAAAGTGTTCAGCGTGCCCGCTGGCGGTAGGACTGTGTCTCTGGATAATGTGTGTAATGGGAAACTGCCCTGCTTTTTCGCCTTTGTCATGCTACAAAACAGATACTTTAACGGTTCTGCCTCTCACAACCCCTACTCCTTCCTCCACAAGTCTCTTACAAACTGCATAATGTATTACAACTCTGATCGTATTGAATGTGCTCCCACAGACTTTCACAGTACATCTCCCTATTTCCAACGTGCTTATCACGACTTATTTAGTGAACTAGGACAAACGTCGGGCTTCTGTAACATGATCACCCCCGAGGCTTACAAATCCGGAGTTTTCATCGTTGCAAAAGATTTTTCACCCGATGGCAGTTCTAACTGCTATTACAGTACCCTGCCTACCAACGGCACTTTGAAATGCGATTTATTATTTCACCACGAATTAGATACGGCTCTCACGATACTATGTCTTTGTGAATTTGATGCAGTTTTGGAGGTGACCGGGTCCCGCAACGTGCACATTTCTTAATGTGTGCGTTTTCTTACAATGGACTCGACTCAACTGACATCTACTTGTAACAGCTCCCCCGTTTTACGAAAACATTTTGTCGGCGTTTTTCCCGCCGACAAACTACCACGCACCGTATTTCGACCAGCCTGTCTTATTGTCAATTTAGACTCGAGCACCTTACCTGGCTCCCACTGGGTTGCCTTCTTTTTGTCGACAAATTCTTCAGGTGTCGAATTCTTTTGCAGTCTAGCCCAACCCCCTATCAATCCCTTTTTCACCCGATTCGCAGCGCGCCACGGGGGCCTAGCCTGGTACAACACTAAACCCATCCAGAGTCCCCTGTCTGACGTTTGCGGAGAATACACTTGTATATTTCTGATGCACAGGTCTCTAGACCTTAACCCCCACTCTTTTATTAGTCTCTTTAATCATTGTAAGGGTAAAAATGATCGGTTAGCTCTTAAGATATTTAACTCACACTTTTCATGTAATGTACATTACTATCGACCGGAACTGAAAGTATTCCATGTACAAACTTGCACCAAGTCTTGCCATAAGCGTAAACCTCGTTGCGAGGGGCGCACGCCAGGGCACACGCACCGCGACACCCTCTCCCCCCCGCACCCTGCGAGGCACGGGGGCCGCACCCGCCGCCACCACCTGAGGAGTGGGGGCCCGTCACCTTAAAAGCCCCCCGCCGCGCTGCCGGGGACACCAGTTGTGATCGATCGCCTGATCGAGTCGTGTGTGCTGCCGTCCCCCCTCGCTCTGTGTCGTGTTGTGCCTCTGCTACCGTGCTCGCTGTGCCTAGCCTGCCCGACTCATCGACAGCCCACTTCACCTCAGTTGGTAAGTACATTATTTTGCTGTCCCCCCTCTCTTGTATTCTCTCTCCCTTCGAGCGCATGTACAATATTGTACATTTATAGCAAGAGTGTAATGGACACCCCTTCTAATGCACTATCTGTTCCCCCCCCGACTCTCAGAGAGGACTCGCGGTGTCTCCTTGCTGACGTGCTGGCTGCTCCGATCTCTGCCCCCCTCCACCCTGCCCGTCCGTTTTCTACGAGTGCAACGCCTCTTTTCGGTAAGTTTCCTGTGTGTTCGCGTGTTATCTACTCTCAAATGTGCAAGCGAGCTCCACTATACCTTGCTAATTTTACAGTGAGTGTGACCTGATTACTAATGGGACATGTGTGTGTGTGTGCGGTTTCTGGTTTCTTTATAGAGAGAGAGCCATCCGATCCCGAGGGCATCTCCTTCGCTCATCTCCACACCGCCAGCCCCTCTCCTAGACCGACTCTGCGAAGTGTCAGACGAGTCCTATTCAAAATGGTATGTATCTTGTTTTTGTTTCATTCACTTTCTAATGATTTATTTATCACTCCGGTGACTATCCTTTGCACCACACCAGTATAATTGTTGTGTATACGATTCGTGACAGTGTATTAACTCAGGTGTTTTTATTTGTTTACTTCAGTCCGAGAAACGTTCTGCCCCGATCGACGGCCACATCGGCGAGCCACGGGATATGAAGCGCAAGAAGGTTGTTTCTGAGGACACGGAGCCCCGCCCGTCCGCCCCCCCTCTCCTCGCCGACGCACCGTCCCAGGCGGCCCTGGAGGCGCAGGAGGTGGCTGCTGTCGCCCAGATCCTGCCCGTGGCCGAGGAGGAGGAACTCCAGGAACCTCCACCACGGGCTCTGTGCGAGTCCCTCATGTCCATCTGGCAAGCGATCAATCGGTATGAAGATTTTAAATCATGTAGTGACCTGATCCCAGGGAAACTGTATGAGATTTCATACATCTACAAGAGTGTGCATGAAAAATTCGGACTCAAGGCTTATGGCGAGGTGCACGAGACGCCCTTGTCAAAAACGACGATTCAGCTGCCGGATCGTTTCCAAAAACTAACTGACGAATTCATTTGTGCAGTGAATGACTGTGCGAAGCGCGGTTTCCCCCCCTCCATATGTTGTCTGGGCAAGGACAAGAAGGCACTTAATGTGGAACTGCGCTTCGCGCACCTTATTCTGTAGTGAGTGTATTTTTTGCCACACTGTATTTTTATTTTAATAAACTGGGTTTTTGTTTTTGGGTATAAACTATTTTTTGTTATTACTGTACCTCCCCCCCTTCCCTCAATATTCATTTTCACCACACATCAGGGTTACAGGGATTTGAATTCAATCGTAAATTCTTTTGAAGTTTTATGCATTATTTATTCACTTTGACAAAATTTTACATAGTTCAGACATTTTATGACATATGTCACCAAGACTCCTATACAGTGCTCCGATGCTAGTTTTCTCATTTTTAACTGCTCTTTTGCACACTTTGACAATAGCGGGGGGTACCTTCTTACATTTTGTCACTTTAACGCGAGGGTCTTTCGGTCTTCTGCCAGTTTTCTTTGTCTGTTTCGGGGGCTCGACGTTTTTAACCTTTTTTGGACGACCACGTCTAACCTCAACAGGTGCACTTTCTGTAACACACAATCGCCACAGTCATTACTTCCCCCAACGAGGCACACACTTGTCGCACTATTTCACTTGAAAGATTGACTCATACCTGCACTAGGGACGTTTTGCACCTGTTCACTCGGGGTGATTCCAATTGACGATACTATCTCTTCTGTAATGAGATACATAATTACACAATGACTCCACCATATCACACCTCTGCACTTAATTAAGACAAGACTCACCATAAGATGGTACCGTTTTGGAGTTCTCCACGCCCCACATGAGTTGGGCCAAATCCATGCTCTCTCCTAAACTCTCACCATACACTACAGCCATTGTCACGTACGTTCGGTCACGCTGCTCACGACACACTGACGCCCAAGACTCGTCAACGCTCACTTCTTCCATGCAGGTGGCGTGTAAGGCACTTTTTGCTGAGTATGCATTTGCCCCTTACATTGCATAAAACACTTAGTTGGCTTAATTCCCCCACTCAGAATATTAACTAATTGGCGCTCTTCACGAGTCAGCAGAATAAGCAGATGCTTTTTGAGTCGCTCACGATCCATTTTCGTTTTATTTTTTGCCCTTTTTTAAAAAATGTATGTGGAGGCGACTGAACTTGGGGGAATTGAACCAACAACCTTCCCCACCACCCGCAACAAATCTCGTCACTCACCTCCACATACATTCACACACTGTTACCCTGTATCAGACTTTTGTCTCATGGCGCCTATAGTCCAACCCCCCCTCCCCCTCCCCTAGGAGGAGCTGGCGCCTCCGTGGAGATGTGGACCCGCTCCCAGGCTTATCCCATTCGATTCCCGGTACTATGGGATGCGTTTAGATTTTCTGCTGCCCTATTAACAAGCATATGCTACCAGCCTAACCCATTTCGAACGCAACCCACTCCTTCCATCCTGCATCTCACAGTCCAGAGCTCAGTTCGTCCTGTACCGCTCTCCTGGTCGTATCGTTCCGTCGTCGCTCACTCACCCGTATTACAATGGCCCACTCGTGCTACAACCTGTGCTATGTGACTCTATTGGACAGAGTAGCCGGCGATTTGCTAGATTTTCATCCGGGATGTGCAGATCTGGCACTCGTCCCGGATGAAATCTGCGATGAGCCTAGGAAATATTACTGTCTCCATATAGTTGCATTGAATGGGACGTTTCCGGAAGATGTTCACCCTTGCATGTACTGTGATTTGCCCTGTCTAAATCCCATCGTAGACTGTGTCATTTGTGAGCACGCCCCGGACTCGTCTGACGATGACGATGACGACAGTGATGACGGTTTTGACGGACAAATGGACGAGGACGAGGACGAGGACGAGGACGAGGACGAGGACGAGGACGAGGACGAGGACGACATTGTAATGCAAGAGGACGG